TTTCTACTCCAGCATTACTTAATACATTACAATCAAGGACAGTACGGACGTTTCTACTGCAGCATTACTTAATACATTACAATCAAGGACAGTACAGACATTTCTTCTCCAGCATTACTTAATACATTACAATCAAGGACAGTACAGACGATCTAATGCAGCATTACTTAATACATTACAATCAAGGACAGCACAGACGTTTCTACTCCAGCATTACTTAATACATTACAATCAAGGACAGTACAGAGGTTTCTACTCCAGCATTACTTAATACATTACAATCAAGGACAGCTTTATAATAAGCTGTACGATAAGCAGGACCATTTCAAATATCCGACCATGAACTTTCCTTTTAATAATAAACTTTATTTAACGAGGATGACATGTTTAGCCAAAGGGTAATCTACCAAATGGTCCTTTTCTTGGTAGCATCCTCACTGCGTCCCATATCTTTGGTATTTAATAGTTTACGCAGTTAATTCGGTATGTAAATGCTTGCTCCGTATATTATGATTTCTGCGATACATGTCAACTGCTGACTTAATACAAAAACTTAAGCAAAATGGTATTTCTGGTACATTATTATCTTGGTTTGTGAGCTATCTCGATGGACGCAGTCAAAAAGTAATTGTTGAAGGGAATTCATCTGCTAAAGGAAAGCTACAGGCAGGTTTGCCACAAGACTCAATACCAGGGCCTCTTCTGTTTACCATTTATATTAATGATATTGTTAATAGTATAGATGCTATTATTCGTTTATTAGCAGACGATACTTCACTTTACATCATAGTTGAAAATCCCGCTCGTACCTGGGCACAGCAATGGTTGTTAAACTTCAACCCAAATAAAACTAAAAGTATGATTCTATCTAGGAAACGTGCTCGAGTCGATCATCCTCCATTAATAATGAACATTACACAAATAGAACAAGTCAGTAGTCACATACATCTTGGGATAATTATTGAAGAGAGCTGCTCTTGGCATTTACATATTGACAATATACTTGGGAAAGCATGGAAGAGAATTGATATATTGAGGTCACTGAAATTCCA